TTTTTTTATGTTTTTAAATTTATAATTGTCTTTTTTTCGACTTGTCTGAATTTATTCTTTTCTTTTTTTTTTAAATATCAGTCATTTTAGATATTTATATTCTGATGCGTCTAATTTCACGGAAATTTTTTTTTTTATTTTATAATTTTACGCTTATCTTTTTTAAAATAATTCTAATTATTTTGATTACTACATTTTTTCATTGCTATTTTTTAACTAATCGATATTGCAAAGTATCCTCAATAAGACACATCATTTTTTTATTATTTCTGAAATCTTATTTTTCCATATTTTTCATTTATTGATTTCCTTACTCACAGATTTCCAAAATTTGATGTTTCCGTTTTCTGTAAAATTTCCGACCGTAAAGAATCAATGAAACGCATTGTACAATAAAGAAAATAAAAAAAACTATAAACAAAATTTATTATTTTTAGGGCGAATATTAGTGTTTTTGAGAAATAAAAAAAAAAATTACACGTTCTAACCTCACATTGTAAACAAAAGGTAAAAATACATTTGAATCTTTCTTAAAGTAAAGGACTTAAATGTATGTTTAATGTTAATTTTATAATATAATTTCCACGAATGCATTGGGCTTAAAAATACAGTGCGTTATTCCTATCATTATTCTTTACATCGATCATTTTGATTGACATATTTCCTGTGAATTCCAAGCTATGATATACAAATTCAAATTTTTTATAGCAAACTAAAAAACTGTCATCAAAATTAGATTTCAAATTCGTATATCTCTGATGAATCCGCAAGAGTACCTGGCACTGTATTTGGAAACATGTTTTTCTCATGATACTGAAATTAAAAAGACATGTCAATTTTTTAGATTTTTCTAACAAAATTGTTATGAAAAAATTTTAATAAAAAAATTTCACATCTAAGGTAAAGTACCCAGTAGCTACTCAGGAACCAGTACCTGCCCACTCTGTGTACTTATAAATCTATATTCACAAATGCAGATATTGGCTGGGTGCACGCACATACTAGTCAAAAATGAGTGTGTATACGTGTATACGTTAAGCATGAAAGAATGTTGAGTATTATTTTAGGTGGCGCTATCAGTTTGCATCAACACGCAACACACTATGAATGAAGTAGTATTAATGATATTGCTCCGCCCACGTGCACTGGGCAAATACAAATACATGGAGTGAGCAGGTACTGGTTCCTGAGCAGCTATTGGGTACTTTATCTTAGAAATTAAAAAAAAATTATAAGCCCAAATTTTTTTTAAATGTTTTTTTAATAATAAAAATCAAAATAATTGACAGATGTCTGTTGATTTCAGTATCATGTTATACTCAAAAAAGCGACAGAGCGCACCACTTCACTGGTGGTCTGATAAGAAGACTGCTTTAAATTTTATTGTTTTTTTTTTCTTCTATAAAAGTAAGTTTGTATATGTATGTCATATTTAATCATGTTTGAGTAGATACATGTGTGTCATTTATAAAAGCGAATAGAGCCGGAAAAAATCGAAGTTACTCGATCGTACCGTCGCATGTCATGTGACTAAGGACCGAATAGATGTATTATACAGCCTGTATAAAACGTACTATTTGGCATGTTTCATTGACACTAGTGTTTAATATATTTACACTTTGTAATCTACTACTTTATGTAGAGGATATTCTACTCTTGAGATCAATGTTTTCTAAAAAGTTATATATCACATAATTCAAATATAATATATATATTTATATATCTGCAATTGTATATAAAGTTAATCCATTCATTCGGAGCGTTTAGTTACAATACGATAAAAAGATCCAGATGGAATATATCAAGACAATCTATTGATTGTTATTACTCTTTATTAAACAATCGTGAAAAATTTATCTTTTAGTTGTTTATGTGTCAAAATTACTACAATGAGGCTTACTCGTCGCTGTTTAGGAAACATCACCAAAATGTTGGACTTTTATTCTCAGTTCAACCCATCACCTCTTTCAATAAAACAGTTTATTGATTTTGGTAAGGTTTTTATCATAATATTATAATTATTATTATTATATTCAATCGGGTTTTAATTTTATTTTAAAAACAATAAAATACTTGATAATTGTTTAATTATGTCACTAATAATTACTGTAAATTATTTGAATAACAGCATGTGATAACACAAATTAATCAAGCACCATTTTTTTTTAATTAGTTAGAATACGACAAACTTGTAAATTGAGTAATATTAAATAATGAGGGGACAAAACCCTAACTGAGTTTGAAAATCCAAAGCCATTGACCCGAAGAATTATCAGCTTATCTCGTAGGCTCGTCCATTGGACTGATATAATAAATCCTTGTGCTAAATAATTTCAATAACAATCGATGGAAAAGAATATATTAGACGATATGTAGTGGCAAGAACAAACATCATATTTGTGATTTTATAAATTAATTTTTAACTTAGAAAAATGTTTAACTGATTAGAAGAAATCTGACAATTTTTCGGTTCTTTAAAACACATGAATTGCTACTGAGAAAGTATTAAAAAAATTACATTAATAATTTCTTGGATTCTTTAATAAATTTTCTTTTATATATTTTTTTTTTGTAAAGAAAAATTTTAAATTTATCAAACGCTAATTAATATCGAAATTATAAAAAATATTTTCTTTGACAATACAGAAACGAAAAGTTGAAATTCTGTTTTAGATGATTTTTTAATATTCATACAATTTACTTAGACATTAAAAAAAAATGAAAGTAGTTTATCGACTACCCTTAAGATTATAAATGTGAATACACATAATTTTATTATAAAATTAAATATTAATAGAAAAATGTGTAGACAATATGACTCAATCAAAATTGCAAATTAAAAATTAAAAATTAATATATTGCAATAATAACTGTTATTGCAGACATCGTCTACTTCGATTAACGGCAGCCAATAAAAGCTTGGTTTAAACGTATTAATAAACATTCATTTTGTGAATTAATCCATACTAAGCACAACAGTAGTTTAAAAAATTTATAATTGCAGCTATTAACTTCAATACTAAATATTTTTAAATCACTTTTTTCCTTTTGAAATTTAAATATTCTTCAAACGAACAAATAAATATATTAGTGGGAGTAATAGGCGCATGACGATTTTTTTTATTTTCAAATACATAAAGCAAAAATCTGAATAAATTTTTAAATAAAAATAAAACATTTGTCTGATGACTAGGTCCTAATTTTCAACGTCATGAATAATTATAATAAAAATTTAGACATTAATAGTAATTTCTAATGAAATATTCAGAAACGATTGATTATGAAATACACGAAGGTTGTTTTGAAATTATCAATTATTAATTATATGTGTAGTCATGTCTGTTTTGTTTGGATGTGGAAAAAGTTTTCATTGGCGTACTTACGTCATTTAATCCAGCAAGGTCATTTAAGAATAATAAAGAATATATTAAACGTACTTGTGATACGCTTAAATATATATATATATATCATATCATATCATAGCAATCATCTTTGGCAGTAGACTAAAATTTAGCAGTGATTCTTGTATAAATGCAGAGAATATATTGATTGATAATAGCGTTATTCCTTATGTTAATACTGTTAAGTATCTAGGGGTCATTTTAGATAATAATCTTTCTTGGGAACACCAAGTATTAAAGACTTGTAATCAAGCTATGAAAACGTTAGCTCAACTTAAAATTAACAATGAAATATTTAATGAATAATTGCGAGTAAAATTAGTGACTACACTTATATTCCCGATCTTTGATTATTGTTGTGCTGCGTTTACTAACATTTCGAAAAAGCTGCTGCTTAGGTTACAAAGAAAAATGAATTCTTTTGTAAGATTTATTTTTAAATTATCCAGATATGAACATGTAACCCCGTATTATAATAAATTAGGGTGGCTAAAATTAAGTAAGAGAAGAGACTACTTCATAGCATGTTAGTTTTTCAAAGAAATAAGGCTAAACTATCGGCAGCTGTTTGGCCCAGGACTTCAATATCTTAATGTTTCAATGCGTAGAGGTGACATTAGGTAAGATTACTTACGTCTGCCAAGAGCAAATAGCAATATGTATGAGCAATCTTTTATAATCCATGGCATACGTATCTGGAACTCGTTGCCACCCGGGTTGACAACTGCAGATAGTCTTCCTGAATTTCAAAATGCCTCTTTTTCATTTTTTCTGGCTGATGACAATTAAAATCATCATTATATTTGTTTAAATAATTATAATTTTTGCTTTCAAAGTATTTTCAGAGTGTTTATGAATTTACTAATTAGCTACTGTATTAAGTAACTTTATTGTATTAGGTAACTTTAAAATCTTGCTCTCAAAATTATAGAACTATTGTAATTGTATTTTAATACTGTATACTTGTATATGTATAAAAATGTATTGCTTATTGATGGCCTTGAGGAAGCTTCGGCTCTAAGGACAAATAAAATATATCTATCTATCTATCTATATTCTGATTAAATTATTTCGTTGCAAACTCTCATTATTGGGTACGAAATATTTCCTTATTATTCTAAATACCTAAATATTCTAAATAGCTAAAAAATCTTGAATATAGAATAATGGTTTCATCTATAACGTTATCTTTATGTAGCATTTACATTAAATTTTTTAATTAAATAACCTAAATAGTATCATATTAGCACAATAGTGTATAATTATATTAATAAAGTTAATTTTGTTGCTCAATATAACAAGTATGTACTATTAAGTCGACATAAATAGTTTTAATTATCTGAATCAACTGATATATCCGTTCTTTGTCTATTATCCTTCATGCAAAAATATATTCGTATAACTTTTATTTTTTATTATCATATATATTATCTATACTTTAATGTCTAAAGAATCATTCTTTTATAAGTAATATAAAAATTTAGAGAAGAAAAATAATTTTATCAATAATATAATAATATCTCTTGTTCAATTATTCAAATTTGCTATCACATTGTAAACTGAGTATGTAATGAGATTTTTTTATTTATTTTGTCTTTATTTTTTAGGTCTGAGCGCTTGTGAGAGAAAATCTTTCATATTTTTAAGGAAAGAACTTCCAGTAAGGCTTGCTAATATAATGAAAGAAATTCATCTATTACCTGAACATTTACTAAGGATGCCAAGTCTTGGGATAGTTAATAATTTATATGTTACATCATTTGAAGAAATAATTCATTTTGAAAAAGCTGAAGTCAATGAAACAACATTAGATAAGTATGAATACTTTTTTCTCATACCATAATACTGTCTAGATAATATGAAATTTTTTGTACATGTAGAAGTAAGATGAGAATATATTTTATACTGAGATACTAATTTTATGTTAACAGATAAAAATGTTTTTTTAGTTAAAATTTGTATTAAGCTTTTTATAACGCACACTTCACTGATATAGTCAGATTTATTTTTATTTATCTTTGGTTGAACTTAGCTCATGCTCTAGAAAAAGAACGGTGAATGTTGAGGAATGGGAAAAAACTTTTCCAAAAAATAAAAAAAAACACAATTTATAGAGTTATATAAATTTAGAACGATTTAAAGATAGAAATATATTTATGTACAATAATATAAAAGAAAATTTAGGTAAAAACACTGATCTCATCATCAATTAGTTATCAAAATGTATGATTTTTTTAAATTTTCATTGCAAATTTTTGTACAATATATATATATACTTGTATATTTCAGCTGTGTAGTAGTTATAATTTTGTATTTTTCAACGACTTAGTCAAATCACACTAAAAAAGATGAAATATTAGATCTTGTAATTCTAATTACTGTTTGTTCATTGTTCTTTAGGTCAAAATTTCTTTTGAAATTCTTTAAATTGGGTTTGAAGATTGTATTTAAATTTATATTTATTTACAGTGATATATTAAGTAGTGATTTTTTCAGATTTTGTCAAGCACTCATAAAAATACGAAATCGTCATTCAGATACGGTGGAAGTAATGGCAAAAGGTATTCTCGAGTTGAAAGAATCTCATGATGTAGATGCACAAATGGAAAATAACATTCAGTACTTTTTGGACAGATTTTTTATGTCAAGAGTTTCAATAAGAATGCTAATTAATCAACATAGTGAGTATTATAGATATATTGGAAGTATTGAATAATAAATAAAAAATATATCAATAGTCAATTAAAATATTTTAATCTATGTCAAATATTTGTTAGAAATTTGACGTACATAAATATAAATAATGAACTTATATTGTTGAATACTATAGCATTACTTTTTGGAGGAGTGTTAAATGGTGACAATAGACACGTCGGTTGCATTGATCCATCTTGTGACGTAGTAAGTGTTATTAGAGACGCGTATGAAAATGCGCGATTTCTTTGTGATCAATATTATTTGGCAAGTCCAGAACTGATTATTAAGCAACATAATGGCAAGTCATTTGAATAATTTTTTTTAATGATCAATTAATTAGGTAATAATTTTATGTCGGTAATTTAATTATTAATTTTTTCAGATTTCGAAAATGGCAATCAAATTAGAATAGTTTATGTTCCAAGTCATTTGTATCATATGCTGTTTGAACTTTTCAAAAACAGTATGAGAGCGATAATGGAGTATTATGATGGTCGTTCAGATAGCTATCCATCAATAGAAGTGAATATTGTGCGTGGAAAAGAGGACATTTGTGTGAAGGTGTGAACGACGTTGTTTGTTATATATTAACACGTCTACTTTAACAATCACGTCTCTTAAATTATTTAAGATGTCAGATCGTGGTGGTGGAATACCACGTTCGCAGATGGATCAGCTCTTTAAATACATGTACAGTACAGCACCACAACCCAGCAAATCTGATGCCCATACAGTTCCATTGGCTGGATATGGTTATGGTCTTCCATTATCACGATTATATGCCAGATATTTTCATGGTGATCTTATAGTACTCAGTTGTGAAGGATATGGAACTGATGCTGTTATTTATCTAAAGGTATTTTATTCGTTCAAGTAATTTCATAAAATTATTATTTTTGAACTAATTCATCTGTTTATTTACAATTGATACTTTTAATTTTTTTTGTTTACAATTTTTTTAGGCATTATCCAATGAAGCAAATGAGTTATTGCCTGTATTCAACAAGACTTCATCGAAATTTTATCGAACACCAGTGCCCACTGCTGATTGGAGTAGCTCATGTGGAGGTGGGATGGCAGGTAGACAATTAAATGTCAGTCATAATAATGGACACCGGTTACCTAATGGATTAAGCATTACTACATATTGAAAAAAATTTACAGTTTATAATTTAGAAAAAAATTCATTCAAGCTGCAAATTTTAAATGAATGGAACTTGATATATTATAATAAGTATAACTTTGTATCTTTATACATGTTATAATATGTTTAAATCTATCTTTATACATTACATAAAATAGTATAAAATATGTTTGTTCCGTTTCATTTTTTTTGTAACTTTTTATAATATTAATGTGGATCAAATGAATTCATTTTATTTTATACCTTCGTTAAGTTGATGTTCATAAAAAAAAAAATTTTATCTATAATAATTTAAAATTCTCTTTCATCCCTCGCGGAAATATTTCATAATTCGTTGAATATAATTTAATTCTTGATATCAAAAAGCTTGTTGTTTTTGTAATTGTTGTGACAGCTATTATAATTTGTATTGTACAGTGTAAGCGATATAATAAACTTAAAATAAACTAATTATAGTTTGAATTATAGAATAATTTTCCTCAATTTCTTATTTTATGATATAATTTTAATTCCTAAAAAGTTTTCATTTTAAGGAAATATTTTAATCATTAAAACAAAAGTACCATTCGGCCTAACCCGATATAAAAAGGTAGATTTCTCGACTCTCGCACATAGTAAGAACTGAAATTTTTGTTACTATCTTTAAAGCGCTTTTAAAATGTATAAATTTAAGAGAACATATACATTTAATAGTGAAAATTTTAGTTCCATTTCATGAGCTATAACATGCAACTTACGAAATCGCGATACAATAAGTTATGGAGAAGCTATTTTAAGATAATGCCATAAAGTAATTATTTCTCATATTTTCGCTGATTCTGAAAGCAATGGAAAAAAAAAAAAAAAAAAATCAAATCGAAAAAAACGCCGTTTTGCCATATCCGAGATAAAATGATAGATTTCTTAAATGAATATGAAAAAAGAGATTTTCATTTGTAATTTTCACGTATTTTAGGTCTTTATCTTAAAATAATTTTTCAATTGTGAAAAATAACTTAAACCTGTTAAATTTTTCTTAAAGTTTACACAATTTTCTTTAATTTAAGTTATTATTCGTCTACTTTTGATGATATTTTCAACTTATTTCGTGATTCTGAAAAATAAAAAAAAATTTTTTTTTTCGATTCCCGAAAAAAATAGACATGGTTTGAATGTGTGTTTACACAAAAATAGGCCAACACAAACGCAAATTATCGTGCTGCGCCTTTTTAAGATGGTTTGAATGTGTGTTTACTCAGAAATAGGCTCAAGACAACCCTCGCGGTCTCGGAATTACTCGTAAATCATGGTGAAATTTTGGTGGGATCATCGAGGAAAGATAGTGAACTTAGGGTAAAATGACAGTGAAATCACTGTGGTTTTGTGCCATTTATTCACTGTAATTTTATTATTACCCAACAGTGATTTTATGATGATTTCACCATCGGTTTATAGTAGGGTCACAATAGTATTACGGTTAATTTACAGTAGTATTGCTGTGAGTTGACAATAATATTACTGTGTATTTACAATGATTTCACCATCAGTTGATCCTGGATCTGCAATGTTTCAGTCATGCTTTTTTGGTAATAATACTGTGATTTTATAGTGATTTCACATCAGTTTTACTATAGAATTTTTGTGAAATCACAATAATATCGCTGTGAGTAGACTGTATTATTATCGTGATTTCTTAATCATTTTGGACGAGATTTTAGACTAATATTGAGATTTGATATTAATTTGTTTAAATATAATTGTCATAACATTAATAAAAATAATAATAACAACAGTATTTGGCATAATAACAATAATAATTGTTTATTTAAGCACCGCAGTACAAATCCCTTTTAACAGGCAAAATGCAAGTACAAAAAGCAATACAGAATTTTGGAAAAATAACATAAAATAATTATATTAAATATAGTTAATAGATAATTGAAATCGAATTTATAATATAAAATATGAAAAGAAAATAATTATTATTGAAATTTTTTAATTTTAATATGTCAAATTTTTGAAAATTACTTTTCAAACATAAAAATTTTTAATTTCTATAGTCTCTTATATTATTAATAATAATTATATTTTTAGATTTTTTCGGCTAACTGGCTAGTGTACAGAGATCCCTCGGGCTAGCCAACGCTGACTAGAGTGGTCATCACTTAGTTAAGTTGTAGCTTAACTGAGTGATCGCCCAAGTCAGACGTGTGCCGCCCGGCTATCTCTGCCACTTGCAGAGGCAGGCAATGTAGCATGTAACGCACATATTTTAGAAAAATAGTGGTGCGTGTGCTGGGATCGAACCCGGGTCTCACTCTTTCCAAAAGCGAGCACCGAGCCGACCGAGCCATTGCCGGCCTCAATTTTAAAAGTATTATAAATTAGTCTTTGGGATAAATTAAATAATAATAATAATAAAAATAATAGTAATAATGGTTAAATTTCTTTTTTTCTGGTCTTCTACTTCTATTCACTTCTCCGTCCAGATCATAGTTCGGTGCATCTTCGAGCTAACCAGGTTTTGGAATATATTTCCAGATCATCAGCACTTCCTTTTTTAAATAAAATTTTTCTGCGATGTTGGAGATGCAGACATAATTCTAAAATTAAAACAAAAAATACAAATAGGATGAGAACAGTCACTTTCCTTATTTAAGAAATTTTTATCGCTCAGCGAGAAGAGAAAGTGTCGTTTGTTAAATAACACCCACAAAAAACAAATTTCTTGCGCCAAGAAAATTTTAAGGAAAACGAAAATTATTTTGGAGCAAGAAAAAATTTTCTTGACACAAGAAAATTTTCTTGGCTCAAGAAACTTTAACTTCATTCAAGAAATTTTCAACCTTCCTTAATATTTTCTTGAGTCAAGAAAATTTACACTCCAGTCAAGAAATTTTTTTTTCAGTGCATACACGGAAAAAAGTAAACTGTAATATTTACTCGGATTCCGGAAAATTTTTATAGTTTCAAACAGTAAAGCGGACATCGGGGTGGCAAAAATGTAAATATTACAGAACTCAATGTAGAAAGTATAAAAGCCACAATTTATAATTTAATATCCAAAATAAGTGATTAGTAGTTGTCACTATAGTAAATAACCATTCTTTCATCTTTAAAAATTACAGTTTCAAACAGTAAAAATTGCCATTTCAATATATAGTCTATATTATGAAGAGAAGGGGAACTCAGATGAAAGAAAAGGGGGTTTCACTCTGGGAGAATTTAACATTTGAAACAGTAAAAATTATACTTTTAAAATATACATTTTACCAGTCCAAGCAATTAAATAATTACAGTTTGATTTTTAGCGTTGCGTTTAAAATTTACCATTTTACTTTGTAAATATTGACGTTGCTTGTATTAGAAATTAACTAACTGTATCTTATACTTTTTACATATCATAACATCATTTTTTAGGTACAAAATGATAAATATTAAAGTCTGAACTGTTAATTATTATACTTTAACATTTTAGACATTTACATAGCGAATATTACTGTTTGAAATAGTATTTTCTTCCATGTAAAGAGTAAATTCTAATGTTTAAATTGTAAATATTACAATGTGAATAGTAAAATCATGATTTTGCTGTTTGAAATGGTAATTTTTAGCAGTTGATCATTACTTATTATAAATCAACTGTTATTTATTACAGTTTAATTTTTTCCGTGTAGTACAAACTAATATTTATAAAAGAAATAAAAATTTCATAGGAATACTTACGATCAAATGTTAATTTATCAGCATCGTTTATTAAATGATAATCGCCAGTAGCCGTTGGTGGTTTAAGATAATTTTTCTCTATCATTGCCGGAGACCAAACGACTGGCACCAAGGTGCAAAGTATTTTTTTCATAGTTGGTTGACGCAATGCATCTGTTAACTGGGTACTTGTGAATGCCACGCCTTGAATTTTTGTAATCTACATAAATAAAAAAAAATCAGTTTTTTAGTGTTTATAATTCAATAAAATCTCATACATATAATCATAACGAACCAATCCACTCAGGCAATTCTTACCTGTTCTCCGTTTTCAATTACGATGGATTCTTCCAAATTAACCGTATTTCCAACAAATTTTTCATCGTTTTTATTTATTTTTATGACCTCTTCAATTTGTTCTTCCATGCGTATCATTCTTTGCTCTGCTCGTCTCCGCCAACCTATTCCCTTTATTCCTTGCATTTTCTTGCGTCGGATTAATGTATTTTCCATTCCTTTTGAAGCTTCAGATTTAATAGAAAGATCCGAACCATCTCGATTCGGAGTGTGATCATTACTTTCTAATAATCCATTTTGAATATTTCCTAATGGTCGTCTTTCATTTATTTCGATCGATGATTTTGTCTCAGCTTCTTCATCCTGCGAATAATATTCAAATTATTATCTAAAACATAAACTTATAAATTTCATGGTAAGACTAACAGTCGAAGAATCACCTTTCAAAATTTGCTAAGACAACATATTAATAGATCATGAGATATTTAATCAGTTAAAATTTTAAAGAACTATAAAAAACAAAAATAAAAAGACATAAATTAATAAGATATATTTCTTCAAATTTTTTAAGATTTCTTTATTATAGTAAGGTAAAAGCCCCAGTATTTGTTCACTATTTGAGTGAATTCAAGAAAGCATTATTACATTAAAATTATGTTTATTTATTAAAACTTTAATTTTTTTTTCTTCAAATATTTTTTTAAGCTCTTAAATACAAAATATCTAAGCTGTTTCACGATTCAATTAATCCAATTAACAATATTGATTTGTTTAAAAAAATTTGCCGATGACCCCTGTGCCTGCTCAGGAAAAAATATTAATTATAATTTATATAATTATTTTTTTATTAATAATTTATGTTTATTATTCATGTTTGCGATTTATATAATTAATAAAATTAATAATAATATTTTATTTCTGGCGTTAGTTATTTAAAATTTTTTTGAATGTTACTTACTGTCCCGCACAAGCACAAACTGCTTGAATTGACGGTGACAGTTAGAAAATTATTTCATTGATTTTTATAAATAATAACAACATTTGGGAAAATAATCGATTTAAATTAAAAAAAAAAACCAATAAATAGCATAAAATTTTTTTTTTTACTTTTATAAATGCTAAAAAAAAAAAAGATTGAGTAGGTACTTGGGCTTTAACCTTATCAACAGAAAGATAAAAAATTTATTAACATAAAAGACATTTTAAAATTAAGCTGTAGAAGATATGATTTTTTGTAATTTGCAAATAATTTGCAGAAACATGCACAATTTTCTTTTGTCCAACGTCATTTATAAGTGTACAGCCACAGCCTAAGTGAAATTTCATTATGTATTCTAAATTATATCTTTGTAATATCTACATTTGTACTTAAAATTTTTTTTTGTTATTTCTATATTTAATTGTCGATATATCGGAGATTTTTCAAAATATCCAAAATTTTTATTCTTTCGTTTCAATTTCGTTTTTAAAAATATATAAAAATCTATTGAAACAAGTGAATAAAAATTTTTTTCATTTGTCGATTTTCAAGTATATCGATATTCCGCAAACTGAGATTTTCCGGGTCTATTTTTTCCAGGTCTATATTTTTTCCGGTCTATTTTTTCAGATTACCATATATATATATAGGTCATTCCACCAAATAAGTACATTTTTACGGGGTGACCCTCGCGGATTATGTTTAAAATTTGTGAAGGTGTTCTCTATAATAAGAAAAAAATTCCCTACAAGTTTCAGCCCTTAATATTCAGCGGTTCTGGAGTTTTTTGAAATAATTTTTCAAATTTTGAAGAAAAATTTTTTTTATCTTTTTTATTAATTTTTCTGATGAGGAAAACTTTTTTATTTAAATCCACGAAAAATACTTAAGGACTGCCTGGTCAAATTTCCCTGATGGCACTATTATCTGGAGTAAGCTTAGGCACCTGGGCCTAATCAGAAGTACTTCCTCTCTCTTGAATTACTTTAATGCTTCTAAGATAAATAAGCACTTTGCTACCACGGTGTGTCATCATCCATCGTGTAGCCTTAAGCTTCTGGACTCATTATCATCATTATACAGTAGTCGAGTAAATGCTCACTTTGAGTAGTCTGTGATCAATATAGTAGATGTATCTAAAGCTTTACACCTCAACCTTCAGAAATCTAATAAGGGTAAAAGCCCGGATGAGTTGAATATTAAATGGCTAAAGAATCATATTTCTTAAATACTTCTCATTTGAGTAAGATATTTGAGAAAATTGTTGCAAATCAAGTAGTAAGCTATCTTGAGGATAATGAATTACTTGACAAGTATCAATCAGGTTTTCGCAAATACCAGGGTACACAATCAGCATTACTGAAACTAGTAAATGCTATTAGTCGAGCAATGGATGACAATAAGTTAACTGTATTAGTTTTATTTGATCTAATGAAAGCATTTGACTATGTAGATCATAAAATCATTTTAAAAATCTTAGTGGAATTGGGCTTTACTGTAAATACAATAACCTGGTTTTTCTCATACTCTCGAGTAAATACAGTCAGTGTTGAATGATAAAGGTTTACCAGTTGAATTCCTTGAAATTACTTCTGGTGTCTCTCAAGGTTCAGTCCTTAGGCCCATATTATTCTTATGAGTTATGAGTAATGAATTTTATTGTTGAACGTTTGTGCTACAGTAAGCGCGGGCTATTTGCTAATGATGAATACATTTATTTGCATTTCTATCGGTATCAGTCTCAAGATGCAATCGGGCAAATCACAATTGATGCTCAATTTTTTGCTGACTGGGTTTCTGACAATGACCTTGACGTTATTCTAAATAAAACCAAAGCTATGATACTGGGTTCAAGTAAAAATCTGAGGTTGATCCAACAAGAGTTTTTGTCGCCTATCATTATAAATGGTGTAGTAATATCTTATTCTGAATCAGCAAAGTGTCTGGGTCTCCATATTAATAATACTTTGTCTTAGAATTCACATGTGTCTAAGGTAGTAAGTAAAATAAATTCTGCCATGTAATACAGTCTAAGACTGAAGAAAAATATTTACACTCTAGATGTTAGAAAATTATTAGTTTCAGTAACTATCTTACCACTTATTGATTACTGTTCTATTTTATTGTCAAATGCAACTAGTCAAAATAATTTGAAACTGCAACGAGTTCTAAAATCTACTATACGTTTTATCTTTAATCTAAAACGTGGACTGGGATGGTTATCTGTCACTAGTCGCAAAATATACTATTTACCTACCTATTTTTATAAGTTATTGTTTATTGGTAAACCGAGCTATCTACGTGAGTTGTTTGTTGATGATGATGATAATGTCAGACGTTCAGATCGATTAGCTGCTAAAAAGAACAATGTTATCTTTAGAATACCAAGTTTCACGATAAATTATGAGTATTCTTTTGTTATTACTGTGATTCGCTTATGGCATGAGCTACCGTCTGACATTGTAAATGCGTCTAGTCTTGAAGTATTTAAGAGTAAGATGTTTGATCACCTATTAAATTTAGATGTTTAAATTTAAATAAATCAAATTACTCTTGAAATGAAGGTGACCATATCATTTGAACTTATCGGTTAAATGTTATCAGTAAATTTACAATTCTTATTTGTTTTATTCTTAATTTATTAAAGTCATTATTAGCCGAATATATTGATTATAATATTTTCAAATTAAATCAAAACAGCAATGTTTTATAATATATACTAATTATAGGGGAAGGGGGGGGGCAAAATGGGCCCCTTAAGAAAAAAATGTTGAAATCCTTAGTTTTTTTTCTCTGGTTTTACTTTTTTTTTAGTCCCTTGCCAAGTATTTGACCTTAATTTGCTCTGTTCATTGAAAATAAAAAATTTAAAATTTGGGGCAAAATGGGCCACCTTCAGAAAATTTTTATGATATGAGATTTTCAGCTTGGTTTACTTTTTTTGGCCTTTTACTGAGTTTATGGTATTAATTTCTATGTGTCTATCGAAATTAAAAAATTGAGAAAAGTAGGGTAAAACGGGCCCCCAAAAAAACTCAATATGTTTCTTACTTTGTTTTATGTTTTGAATCTTTTTATTATTTATTCGGAATAAAAAAGAGCTGATAGTAAAATTTTGAACTTTATAACAGCTAAATTCAAAGTTTTTTGTTGAACTACTATTCGATGAATTCGAAAAAATCGAACTTTTGTGCTAAAACATTCAGTTTTTTAAATAGATTGCGCATGCTCATTCTTTAAAAGTCTGTACGCATACGCACGCATCATGTACTTTCGACCGGACCCACTTACGGACATGTCATTCGACCCGCTGAATCCGAATTTGAAGTCCATTCGGCCCGGTCACCCTCCAAATTTGAATAAAATGCAAAAAAACCCCCCCAAAAAAGCAAAAAATTGCGAAAAACTGCAGTCACAGCGATGAAAAAATTTGTGTGGACTCGGATCGAGTTTGATTTTTATGCATTTCAATTCACTGAATCTGAAGCTAAACGTTAATTAGCCCGTTGAGCCGTCAAAATTTGAAAAATTGCGAAAAACCGAAAAAAATTGCAATAAATCACGAAAAATTGAAATTATTCAGATGAAAAAAATTTTTTTGATTGAGATTGATTATGATTTTTGTGTGTTTTGTTCTTCTGAATTTGAATCTGAAGTTTCTAACGTTTCAAAATTTTTAAAAATCTTAAAAATTCAAAAAAATCGGGAAAATTGTAGTTACAAATATGGGAAAAAATCTATTAAACACGATTGTTAATGACTCCTATTTTTTGCGAGCAATTGTATTCTGAATCTGTGGAGCCATGGATCCAAGGTGGTAAGTGCAAAAATTGGGCTGACGATTCATGTGTTGGAGTTGAAAATAAAAAAGTCAGTAAATCCACGTGTGATAGTTGTAAATAGATTGAAATAACTATATTTTGTTAACTTTTATTAGAATCTGACTACTTGAAAACTTACTTTTATATTTTTATTAACTTGTTGTAATAATTAATATTTTAATAACGTAATCTCTTGAATTTTTATTCTTATTATCATTTCAATAAAATAAATAGTTTCTTAACAAAAACTATAGTAAATAATGCTGTCAATTAAATCATGATCTAGTTTGTCCTTTATATAATTTTTTGATGATTTCTATATACAGGACAAAAATTCTAGAACCCAAAAGAGTTCAGTTAAATAACTGAAAAATATTCGTTGGTTTTCAAAGTGTAATCGGTAATTTTACCTTCCAAAAACTTTGAGTGTTGAAAATGTTGAGGGCCCATTTTGCCCCCAAATATTTTTGGATATCGAAAATTTTAGGGGGCCCATTTTGCCCCCCCCCCTTTCCCCTAATTTTATAGAATTATAGTGATAATTTCAAACATTAAAATTAGTTGTAAGTTACCTATTATTAAAAAAACTGTAACTTATAATCTTCCAATATTTGTTATGTACACTATTATATGTATTTTATTAACATGTTATTTTTGTATGTATCATTATATATTTTGCCATCTGGCCAGTAGGCTTTGGCATAAATAAAGTGATCTAATCTAATCTAATCCAAAATACATCTCTTGATTAATTTTTAGAAATTTTCCTAGTCGCATAATAAATTGCAAAAACTTTTCAGAAGTAGATAAATGGTAGTCCAAATTGAGCTTTAAGTGCGCTTTAAGGCAAATTTAATAGATTTCGAGCTATCGTTTACGGCTGAAAAATTATTTTAATAAAATTGATGCAATTCAACATTTTTCGAATGTTTTCCAATTGCGATATGAGACCGGCTACAATAGCAAGATTTCTAAAGAAATCCACCTAAAAATGTTATGAGAAGAAAATAACAAAACGTAAATTAAAAATAATTACATGAACTTTGAGATATAATAGATATAATTTAGTTATTAATTGTAGTTTTAAAGTTATTAGAAAAATTTCGCGAAATTTTGATATCTATTAAAATAAAAATATTCTTTCAACACCCACAACTTTAAAACTAATAGACCGATTACATACTGAACATACAACTCTGAACTTTTGAGTTGATGCTATTTTTCGGCATAACTGAACAAAATGTAATACTAATAAACTCCCGGAACGATATTGTTTAGTAATCATTTTCTTTATAAGCTAAATTATAAAAAAATTATTAGTTTAATGGAATAACTACTTACTACTGATGTAAATATTGAAAAAATTTCTTTATCGTTTTTAAAATTATTTATCAGAAAAATCTGTCCATTATTTCTTCCACTACATAATCTTTTAATGGACCATGGCACACTATGTTTTGTTTCTTTTTAACTTTCCAGTATGAAAATCAATGATTTTTAAAAAATCGGGAAGTTATTGGTTTCACCCCGATTTTCAAAAATCGAGTTTTCATCAGATCTCCACGTTTTGAGGTCCTAGATAGGAAGCAGTTCAATGATTGAACTGTGTAAACCTCTTATAACTTTTGAACGGCTACACCAATTTGAACGAACTTGGGGGCGTTCGAAAGGGCTTCACCAAACTTAGATTTTCTATACCATTTCAACCTATTTAGACCAGTAGATTTTAAGAAATCTAAAAAATAAAATTTTCAAAAAAATATTTTTTTGAAATAACTTTTGAACAGTTGTAACGATCAATGCCAAAATCTCATTGGATCTTAAACACGAAAAACGACGTCGATTGTCGCAAAATCAGTTGATGCGTTGAAGAGAAATCGATGACGAAAAATTTTACGTCGAATCGTTTGGTAAGTAATAAATAATCTTTTTGTGATTAAAAAACTGCGGCGAAAGCTGCAAGTCCCATAAAAAACGATTGATTCGTTCGGAAGACATTGCAATTAAAAATTTTCAAAAAAGTATGTTCTCAACAACCACTAGAATTTAGAGCTCGAAGATAACTTTTCGAGCGTTTTGTACATAGCGGGAAGTTCCAGGGATGGCCTGCAGGATGAACCGTTTTCCAGATTTTTTTTTTTCTACTGACTACTAATTATCAGAAGTGAATAGAATTCTAAAGATGAGAAAGATAATTGGATAAGAAGGAAAGGATTGCTCTAAAAAGAGTTTAAAAATAGATATTGAGAAAATAAATCGATCGATATAAATGCTACTACTCCAGAACTTTTTATTTTAATAAAATATCGCAGTATAGAGAAATAACCGATTACAAATAAAGTGAAACTAATATTATTAAATTATGCAATCAAAAGTTGTTTGTTCATTGTTGAAAGTATGTAGATGTAGTTTATGAAAACGTAAAATTAAAGAAAATTGAACGGAAACTACTTACGAAAAATAAAGTAACTTAAATATGTAATGCACTATAGACAACTATAAATTACACATAAAATAATATTAATTTTATACAAATCGAAGAGAACAATTATGTTTTTTTAATAGATTAACTTACTTAGGACACAAAAAAATCTATGTGAACATCTATGAAAAATAATTATTCGAGATACAATCTTTGATTTTATAATCACAATTATTAATTTTTTAAGTGTTCCATTACTTTTAAATACTATTTATATTTAACTGCCTACCAAAAACGTTTGAAGTTCTGCAGAAAATTCATTATTTTTTAAATTAAGCATTTTTTATTTTTTAAATAGATTTTTGTGTTTTGGGATTTTAAAAGAATTGTTATTAACTAGATTTAATAGTGCTTTGGTAGATATCTGATTAAACTTCAAAATTAATTACTCAGTAAGGTTTGATCGTATTTAACTAAATTAAATGAGGAAAATAATTTTACGTTGAAAAAATAACGTTTGAGCTTCATACACAATAAAAAATTAAAATTCCATTGAAAGATTTTCAATAATAATATAAAATAATTTGGAGCTAAACTGCATAATTAGCACGATTGTTCTATTTTTTTTTTTATCTTTGTGTTTACATTATATAGAATTCGAATTTAAACGGTAATTTCTATTTTTACAACGACACCAACCTATACTGTGAGAGATATAGCATGGCAGTGATAAAAGATTTTGGTTTTCATCACATAATTTTCTCTATTATTTATCTTTTTTTGAGTGACTTATACACACCTAATATTTTTACTTATTGCCTTAAAATTTTACTGATTCGCTGTATTATGAAAATATTACTTTTTTAACATTTTTATTATGATTACATTCATTTCATGCTAACGCATTGTGATAAAAAAAATATATACATATATCTGTTTTGTCAATTTCTTGATAATTATTCCGCAATTTAATGAAAAATTATACCTTGCATTAATCTAGAATGATATTCAATAAACAATGACTTATCAAAATCTCAAAAATATAAATATTATAGTTATTTAATAAGTGATTAAAATCAAATAAAACATAAACGATGGTTAACAATGAGTTATATAAATGATCTTGATTATTAAGTGGTTGCTTTACATGTCACTTCTTCACATTTGATAATGAATTTATAAAACATATTTGATTTTAAATAGATAGTTTATACATTTTGTTAAATAGTATTAGCACAATAGAATTCCGATTTACAATTATTTACTATGTAATATTATTATTTCATTTATTCTAAATATATATTCATCACAGTGCTACGGACACAAAAATGTGTTCTGTTTTAAATATGCAAATAATACATAAATATATAGTCCAATCTTGTTATGCTTATGTGTTACAAGACTTCTCCTTAATTTGATAAAACTAGCTGGGAAAAATTACACTCAAGAACAATTTGATGAAAATTTCGTGACCGAACCTCGCCATAAAACTGACAATTCCAGAAAAACGATTATACGAAGTATACTATCACTTATCATCTTAATCACATTATAAGAAACGAACAACATTGAAGACAAAATTCCGTAAATTTCTAAGATTTTTTTCTTTATTTAACAGTCCTAAATGAAACATAAAAAGATCGGACTCTATATGTATATATATTTATATGTATGCATAAATATAACTATGTTTAATTTTATAACGGGAATTTCTTCATGTAGATATCACGTGAGCTGGCTATATATATATATATATATTTTTTTCGAATTTTTTTTTCACCGAAAATATAAACATTTAAAAATATTATAATTTTATTTTATTTATTATTCAATGTCTAATGTACAATACTGAATAAAACCGACAAATACCAAGCTCATTATGTGAATTATATATAATATATGATGTATATTTTTTGAAATTCCCTCATTTTTTTATCACTTACAATTTTTTTTTCTTCATCGCAGAATATCCCTTTATCCCTCATAGTATTATTTTATAAATCTATTTTTTTAATAGTAAATCACATAAAATAAAGAAAAATAATTTAAATATAATAGTATTTGTTAAACAAACGAATCTAGTTGTTTAAACGATTTCGAAAATTTCATCGGGATTAATTTAATTTACAATACCTAATCACTCTATTTTGTAAATAATTAAAAATAAAATTAATCGTAAATTTAAAAATTATGTTTTTACAAATCAATTATTTTCATTTTACTTTGAGGAAGCTTTTAAAAAATTTTTTCTTTTTCAAAATGTCTGCTCATTAAACTTCCACACTTACAGAAGGACAAAATGAATGGGATGATCGGAAACAAATCCACGAAGATAACCACGAAGCTCAGCATCTTGGTGAAAATTTTGGATTTGTTGGACCGTGAATATAACTTTTCAATTCTTTCGGTGGCTCTGAAGCAAAATCAGATGCCGTATCGACATCGGCCTTATGACAAATAATTATTCTTATATCTGTATGAAGATAAATTCGACCAGATTTTCCTGACATGAATCTGTGTAAAGAAAAGATTTAATCAATTGTCTTTTTTAACAATCCATTTTCAACTATATAAAAAATAATATTCACCTCAAGTGTATGAGGTAGCGTAGAGTTTTATCTCGCAATGTCCTTTGACGTAGAAAAGTATGAGATCGGGGTGGCATGTCTGATAAATCATATAAAACAACAAACATTTTGACTACCGTGCCCAAAGGATTCAAAAGAGTTACTTGGATTGTACCACTTCTTGGTACTTGATAACCTTTTTTCCCTAAATTAATGTGAGCCTGAAAAAAAAAAAAAAAAAATAAATAAATAAATATAAACGTATAAAATTACTTATTAAATTAAATAATAAACTTACAAGATAAGGGGTGGAAACTTTATCATTGTCACCAAGTGTATAAAAAAACACAGTCACCGGAAGTTTACGATGTTTGGGACAAAAGATACCACTCGCTCCAATTTCAGCAGTGAATCCATGAACAGTTGAAACTGGTTCTAACCTTCCATTTAATGCTGATTCTTCAAAATTACCAAGTAAAGAATAACTTTGAGGTCTACTTCGGGAAAATGATCGTTTTGGAGTTTCGTCACTTTCCGAAAATTGTTTTTCTTCTAGTGATACTGCGCCTGGGCTTGGTGGTGTATTCAACTCAAAAAGGGCACTGTAAAATAAAAAAATTAGAAAAACGGTTGACCCTAAAGGCCATCCCTGCAACTTCCCGCTAATTTCATATTTAAGCTCTCCGAGCTCAAAAATCTGGTAAAAGTTTAATAAATCACTATTTCTTAAATTTTAAAACCGTAATAACTTTTGAATGAATAAACCGATTTTCACGTGGTTGGTAGCATTCTATGCAGTTTTTCAGGCCTCATAAAGAATCTTTAAGTTTCAATCGATCGAAGTAGTAATTTTGATGTAATTCCGAAAAAACATTTTTTCGGTTTTTTCTCGACAACGATAACTCACGAACGAATCAACCGATTTTAACCGGGCTAGCGACAATCGACGTGTTTTTTTATGTTAAGAGCTGGTTAGTTTTTGGAATTGATCAGTAAAGCCGTTTCAAAGTAATTCCAAAAAAACCACATTTGAAAAAAATTTTTTTTTGTAGTTCTTTTGAGATTTCTCAAAATCTACCGGTTCGAATCGGTCCAAATTATATTCAAAATCTAAGTTTGGTCAAGCGATGAAATCGATCGAGCCGTTCAAAAGTTATGAGAGGTTTACACACACACACACACACACACACACACACACACACACACACACACACACACACACACACACACACACACACACACACACACAGACGGACAGACGGACAGACATCACCGCGGAAACATTCGGGGAGGCTTCCTAGAACTTCAAAACGTCGAGATATGATGTGAACTCGATTTTCGAAAAACGGGGTAAAACCAATAGCTTCCCGATTTTTTAAAATTTTCTTAGCGGGAAGTTGAAAATTTTTATAAAGTACATATTAACATATTATTACAACTATAGATACCTTCGCTTTGATGAAACTGAATTAAGGGTACTATCGTAATCAAAACAACAACTGCCTCTTCTAAGTGGAGCTGGACTGGATGTAAGTGGTAAACCTGTTCTACAGTGAAATACCATTGAAGCAGCATTTTCCAAAGATCTTCTGAAACGTTCTTGCTCAATTGTTGAAGGAACATTTTTATCATTAACTTCATCTTCAAAGCTGATACGAGATTCATCGTGAGATTTTTTATTTAATTGACCGTTTTCACTAATTTTATCTTCGTTTTCATAGTGATTTTTAGTACTGTGATTAACGGAAGACACAAAGCGATTTTTAGTCAGAATTTTATGATCATTCAAGTCATCAACTTTGGATCCATTTTCGATTCTGCAACAAATTGAATTTTCTTGTGTTTTACTCGTTGTTCCATTGACAAATTCGTCACATGAAGGCTCTACTTGTTTAATACTCGTTGAATAATTAGTAAAATCAATTTTTCTTTTTACTTTGTTAGTATTGATAAAATTAATTTTTTGCCTATCATAATCAGTGGGCGAACTTAAAGAATTATTCTTTGGATTCGAAAGATCTTTTGTTAATGTTTCTCTTCTTTCTTGTTCTTTTTTAAAAAGTAATTTTAAACGATTAAGTTTCTTATTTAGCATTGACGGTACTAGTGAATCAACATCTTCACCTGGCAGTGCGGCTTGTATATTACAATGTATATCATCACTAGTATCATTTGATAAAACAGTACGAGAATTTGTGCCGTTAGAAATATCTATTAATCCTTTACGATCACGGCTAGTACGTAAAATAGCTCCTAGTAATACATCCGCTTTATTACAAGATTTATGACAACTATCCGCTGAAGATAAATTTTTGTACGATTGCAAAATACAATTTCCTACGGAATCGGTCGATTGTGAATTTTCGCAATGAGAATGACTTGAATGACTTGTAGAAGATACATTTTTAATTGGTGTTTTTTCTAAAATATTACAATCTACTAATTTTTCCACACGTTCACGTTTTCTAAGTGTCTTGACTTGAATGCATCGTCGATTAGTCGGTGTTCGTGTTCTTAAAACAGCTAAAACTTCATCGAATTCACGCTGGCTCAACTCTAAGTTACAATTTTTGAACTTGATCGCATTAGAATTACGTAATTGCTTTTGTTCTTGATTTTCATCTTTAAAACCATTCGTTGTGGACTTGTTCCCATCTTCTAATACATGGCTACTATTAGATGCACCACCGAGTACTCTACCAGGCACTTTACTTATCCAATCAAGAATTCCATTTTCTTCTTTTCGTATTTTATTATTTATTTCTTTAGGAAATGTTAATTTGGACATTAAATGACTTAAATCCTTATTGCCATGAGCACTATTTATTGGACTCTTCATTGATTTTTCTTCCAAATTATCTACTATTTTTTCATTCGGTGATTTATCGGTATTTGAATTGCTATTATTGTTATTAATACTATTACTACTACAACAATTGCTATTACTACTACTACTACTACTACTACTACTACTACTACTACTACTACTACTACTACTACTATTACTACTGCTACTGCTACTACTACTACTACTACTACTACTACTACTACTACTACTACCGGTGTTGTTGTTTATGTTGTTATTACTGCTATTATTATTATTATTATTATTATTATTATTATTATTATTATTATTATTAGAAAGTGATGATCTGAAAAATGTAGATGGGCCGCAGTTTGGTTCATAAAACGAAACATGTTCCGCTAAAGGATTTATAACGACATTTGTTTTAGTTGATACAGCCGATGGATGATTATTCTTTTCATGTGAACTATCTGGTTTTGTCGCATCGAAATTAAGGATTCCAGACATTCCTAAGTCTTGTGATTCAACAAAAGGCACAAATGATTTAAATTTATTAGAGCCAATTGGAGCAGTGTTGTTTACATATGATTTCATTTCGGCGGCTAAAAGTTCTGAAGATGGTTTATATCGTTTTTCATCATTACATTCTGACGCTTCAAGAGTAAGTTTTACTTGCGTTTTAAAACAACGTTCAAATGTGCTTGTACTTGCATAACTTCGAGTATTAAATTTTTCTACGTCAGCTGGCTGTTTTGTATCAGCAAAACTCGTTTCAGCATCTCTAAATACATTAGACGAGTTAGTTTCACTAACTGACATTAATGGGACGTTATTAAATGTAGGACATGAACTAGCGTCGGGTGGACCACATGGTAAAGATCTACGACGTTTTCTTTCTCCATTTGGCTTAATGCACGGTGAAGGTGGGCATCCGTCTTCATCTTCACAATTACAATGATGTTTTCCTGACTTATCACATGGCGTTTGTAATCTATCGTCAACTAGAGATGGTAAAACAAGGCCCGGATCCAAACGAGATGATACAACGTTTTTTGTTGGAGTAACTGCTCTGGCACCATTTTCTTCTTCTTGCAAATCTAAACTTTGATGGATGGGGCAAATAAATGTGGGTACATCTTTAATTCGTGGTAAAGCCCAAACTGTAACGTTTACAGAATTACCATCACCAATTGCTGCTAATGGAAATGTGTGTTCTATTGGCGTTTCTCGAAAATTTCTGAGATTGTCGGCATTATGTGGTATAATTCTCGTCGCCACGTAGGCAGGTTTAGTACCATTGCTACGTGACCACCAAGCTGCTACTTGACTAAAGTGCAAACGAGATCGAACCGCTTGATATAAAGCTAGTGGATTCATCATCTCCGAGCTCCTGAAAAAATTAATTTGATTTAGCATAGAAAAATAAAAATTTATTTAGTTTAACTCTTGATCATTTGCTTGAAAAACTCGACGCTCATTTTTTACAATTTAACGTTTTTCCTATAATTTTAAAATGAATAAATTTTAAAAAATATAAATACCTAAGTTAAAGATATATTAGAAGATATTTGTTTACTATAAACTCACAAAATAATTAATATTAATTATTGAACATAATAATAAATATTACTAATAAAATTTACTTTCAAGAATAAGAGAAATTCTACACAGAAAATTGTGAACATCAGGTTCTATTTAAAACGACGGCATAGTGTTCACCAGGTGAATGACAAAAGACTAAAAAATGATGCTTCAATTATAAAAAATTTTTTATAAATTATTAAAATTGTACTTGTCATTACTCTTTAGCCAATAAAAAATTGCACCTTCCAGTCATTTAATGGATCAGGATAATGATATTATAGCAAGGATTTGTTTTATTTTTTATTATTTTCTTCAAATATACTGATAAGATAAATTAAAAATGGAATTAGTCATTTGACTGATTCTGACGTTGCTGATTAGTTAAGCTAATTCAGTTGATCGCTAATTAACCTAATTATCGTTGACAATCAGCTAAATTGTAGATCCCTACCTATAGTTTATAGATTAAAAATGATTTGATTTTGAATCATCTTGAATACTTTCTAATCCTTCAAATAATTTTAAATGCTATCTCTTACAGGCGTTTAACATGTGAAATTATTTTGTATAATAAGGGAGTATCTGTTGTAATATTATACAACAATACTAATAAGTTCAAGCATATTATACATACTTGCTGGGAAGAACTCCAATGCGCCAATACTCGAGGAGTATTTCGGACGAATGTGGCCATTGCGAGATTAATGTGGATGGTATTGAGGAAATTATATTATTACAAGTCGCTGTCGCATGTCCACATGGACAATCGCTGCACATAAAAACTTCGATACACAAATTGGCACCAATGTCGACTCTGTCCGCTATTTCTTCAATTAACACAAGATATCTATTGCACTGGAAAAAAGAAAAAAAAAAGTTAATAATTTTATTGTTGGTAATCATACAACTAATTTAGATTAATAGTTGAAAATAATAATCATTTCGATCAATTTTGACACTTACCAAATAATTATCTTTATCGCACACATGATTATTAGGAACTGTCTGTAACGGTACAGAGCAGTGCGGGCCTTCTTTGTATCCTCGTGAAGAGCCCTGAATTCTTCCTTCACATACTAAAACGCCGAGTGCTTGAACCACGCTCAATACATTTCCGCGATTTCCACCAGGGCTGATATTCACTTTGCCCGAAGATAGATCCGTGACAGCTCCGAGGCAATGCATCTCTGAAACATGGCACCGAAAAGTGAAAAGTTATTGTTTATATATGTAATTCCAAGGTTAAGAACTTTTTTAATACATTTTTGACCTAACAAAAGTTTTCTCTTACGTTTAACTGGCTTGACCAATATCAAAATTAAATAGTTTCTCAAATGCACCAGAAAAATGCACCAGAGTTTATTAAATAATTTATATTAAAATTTTACTGAAAATCCTCTAGATATTTTTCTATCGACACAATAACTCAAAAGTTAACTGTGATAAATTTTTTTTTTTTAAGGACTACTTAAAACGGATATTTCTGATGAAATCTTACTGTATAGTAATAAATACTGTTACAGTAATAAACAAGCTATTTCGATTATTTTTGAAGTATTTACGCATGCGCGTGTGTATTTAATCATTGAAGAGTTTTTGAACGCATTGGCCAATTAAAATCAGGTTCGCGGCATTTGAAGAAGTTTAGTTCAATCAAGTTAATTTTGTTATTCTTAAAAATACACCTTTAGAATTTTTTCTCTCGTAATAGCCTTTAAAGTACTGAATTGATTTATTATTATTATTATTATTATTATTATATCTTATTAGATATAAAATTTGAAAAGGCTGGACACTAGATTAAAAATGGTTTATTTTTTCGAATTATCATCAACGAAAAAATCAAAAAGTTCTAATTTTTTCGTACCTGTCGTGAATAATTCATGCTTTGAAAAACATGTTAACTTTTTGTATTTGAAGCCTTTTCTAGTAAATTATAATCAGCCTAATAAATTTAGGGCCAGTTTTTCAATCCAGGATAAAATTTTATCCAATGATAAAATATATCTATATATTTCATATATATAAATATACTGGCAATAATAATTTTATCCTGGATAAAATTTTATCTTGAATTGAAAAACTGGCCCTTAATGATTTTAAATTATCTTTTACTGTCAATGTAAAAAAAAGAAAATAAATAATACTTTTTCAATTTTTTCAACCGATTCGTTAATCTAATTAACTGAACATAATAAATAAGTCTTAGTAGATTTTCGATAATCTGTTTATTAATTTCTTCTTAAACAAAGCAACTTTATCGGAAATAATATTAACATCTTGAAATTATTATTCATATAGTCAATTTATTTTTAGATTGATTTATATTTAAAGAAACGTAAAAAAAAAAAAATTTGATGCAGCTAATTATAATGTATTTTAATGACTGAGACTTTTTAAGGGTACGTTTAGCATCTTTCAGAGGGTACTTTAACTAACTTTGAAAAATAATCATATTGTTTTAATTCAAACTTTTATTTTAAATACTCCAAATTTAAGTTTGATAATTTATTTCAATGAAAGTCGTAGCTTTATTTTATTAATGAATATAATGATATTCAATAGCTTATACGTCAACTTGATTCAAACTAAAGAATGTAGAACTATAGTTCTTATAAGAACATTATTTTGAAGAATTTGATCATCTTAAAAATTGAGCATAAAAATTCTTCAACTAAGAAATTTTTCCTGGTTCAAGTAAATTTTACTTGATTCAAGAATTCTTTTTTTTAATTTAAGATGATCGAACTCTTCAAAATTTTGATATTGGTTCAATATTTTTTCTCTTGTATTAATTTTTTCATCAGTGTTTTTATAATATTTGTATTTTCAAATAAATTTAAAGTCTTAAAATTAATTGAAAAAATTGTCGTTTTTAAAATAAATTTTGAATTGTTATATATATATTTTCTCTTTATAACATTTATGATACAATTTTTTAATTCAAAATCATCAAAAGACATATGATAAGAAAAAACAATCTATTTTGGTCGGTCGAGGCCAAACATGATTTTTTCAAGATTAAATTTTTCTCACTATAACAAACATCATCTGATACGTATATTTGAAATCATGGGCTCGGTAGACTTGAATTAATAAATACTCATCTTAGGTCAACACGCTTGATAGCTCAAATTTTTACTAACCTCATAGTAAATCCGTCATAACCCTAGACGTGTTTTTAAGCCTACCTAAATGCCTCACTACATGCATATTTATAGAAAATATCTATTATATTACACCAGAAATATATTTTTGTTACAGAAAAATCTTTATGTAATAAGATATAGAAAAAGGTTCTTATAATTGAATTTGATTATTTTTTTATAATGTAAAATAGGAAAATAAAAACTTAAAATTGCCTTGATTTTCAGATTAAATTGTATTATATATATAGTTTAACATTTCATCAATATAAACTTTCACAGTTAAAGAGTAATTATTTTTTGTTGTTTATTGTATTTTTAAAAATGATTATAATTCTATCAGATATTTTTATATAACAAGTTTTGAGAGAAAAATTAATTAATCCTTACCGACTACTATTCAATTTTATTATTAATATAACTTTTTTTAATTTAAACTTTCTAGTAGCTTCTTAATTTAATTGATGAATTTCTATCGATTGACCCGCATTTTATTGTTTTTTTTTAGCTGTCCGATAATTTTTTATAAATTTTTTAAAATTATAGTACAAGCGTAACTTTTTTATAATTTTTTTATGCACACAATACAATTAAAATATTGAGTGTTTTTAAAAATATTTTGTCAATAAGTTTGTTTCATATAACTTGATGTTTCTGAAGAGAATAATTTTTAGTTTTATTTATGTATTTAAACAATAAAAACATTAACAGTTAATTTATATTCATTGAATCTTAGAATTAACAATCACGAGATTTTTATATTTTAATTTCTGGTTGACATGATTAAATATTAAACGCTATTAATTTCGTTGAAGATTCAATTGTTTCTTAAAGCTCATTAATAATTTTAAGAAAAAAGTCAATATTTTAACGTAAAAAATTTTTTTATAAAAATCAAAATTTAAAAAGTTGATATAATTTACCAAATTATTTTTACATATATTTTTCAACGTTCAATAGCTCCAAAACTGATTAAAACATTTATTTTTTACTATTTTCATAATTTTCATTTTAAGTGCATTGTATTATATTTTAATTTAAAGGGAAAAAGTATATCTGGCAATGTCTGTTGTTTAATTTTTTATCTTTAAAAAAAATTAAAAACAAAGTAGATTGTCAACAGCGGTCTGTAAGATCGAAATTCTTATTTACTTAAAGTTTTAAAATTTCAATTCAAAATAATCTTTAGAAGATGAAAGACTTGGCAACACTACTCAAGTAATGAACAAAGAAAAACATTCAAATATAATTCACAATAACTTCGCAGATAAATAATATATATTGACGTGTGTAGAGTGGTGTAATTTTAGATCGATTGTCCGTAGATTAGTTGTTAATTTTATTCATTGAAATATTAATTAGTTAATAATTACAAAAAATAAGCTTTAGTATCATTTTTTGAATTTACATTTATACAATTAAAACTTTAGTAAGAAATAAAAAGATTGCGCGCAAAAATTTCTGTATTTATTTCTAACACAGGAATAATAAAAATTAATGCATTTGGTCACTCAAGGATACAATTGATTTCTTGATCGGACACTTCATTTTATTCTGACTTAGTAAGATTATTGAAGAAAAGTGAAATATTTTAATTGAAATAGTATTATTTTTTCATTAGATTGTTGTAAATTGATTTTTGAATTTTTTTACCATATTATATGTAACTATTTATAATTCGTGAAATAAAAACTTGAGCTTGAGAGCAAACGAACTACTGCTTGACAACACGAGTCAGTGAAATGGTGGGGACTAAGCTGGTTACCGAGGTCAGCTGAGTGTCGGTTGTACATAACAGCTGAGACGAGCCCTCCAAGATGGTTGCTAAACAGCTGATCAGCTATTGCGAGCATGTGCAGTTTGTTGCTGTTATACTTATTATCAACACCACTCAAAGTAAAATACAACGTTAAGCTAAGAGTTAACAGTATGACTAAACTATAATATACATGTTCGATTTTTTATGAACAAAGAAAAGAAACATATTATGATGAACAATTTTAATAATTGTAATGGACATTTTTTAATTTTTTATGTTAATCGTACACTTTATTTAAGCTTATACTAATTAATTAACGACGTATTTATGCAATCAACCTTCATTGTATGATTTATAATGAATCTTGCGTTTCATTCTATTTTTAATATTTTAATGTTTATTTTTTTAGATTATAATACTTTAATATTTGGGTACAAAGCTGACAAAAATATTATTGTATTAGAGTTATTAAATATTATTTTATTTTTGAGCAAGTAAATTATTACAAAGACAATATTGATAAAAATTGACGCTAATAGTTTTTAAAAATTTTCACCTATATAGATTTTTTAAATATTTTTTTTACAATAATTTATGGGTTAAGGAAAATTTAAGAATTATAACAGTTACTTTATCATTTCAGTATTATTAAATAATTAAGTTGTATTCTGTCATTTAACTGTTAAAATTAATAGACGATTTACAAAAGGTAGTATTTCTTTTCTAAATTTTTTCTATAATAACTAATCTATTGAAAAATTTCTAAAAATTGTAAAATTTCTATTATAGTATTATATTTTATTATCATTAAAAAACATAAAAAGTTTAGTGATAATGTCCAGATCAAACAAAGAAGTTTATTTTAAGAAAGAGATATTAACTTTAAGACACAAAAAAATTGACGATTCTTTTTTTAGTCTCTTATAAAATACGTTCGTTTATCATGTTTTGAGAATCTCCCAAAAATCAGCGATTAAACATTTTTCAAGTTATTTAAAAATTTTTACAATTTCCAAAACCAATATAAAATAATTTTTTAGGTCTTTTTGTCGTTAATTTAACATTTTTTATAATTAAAACTATTGATATGCATTCTTAAAATCTAAAATTGATATTTTTAATTTTAGAGACTGCTTGAGATTTAAAGTACTGTTGAAAAAATATATATTTTTAGTTAATTTTATAAGACCTTGATTTTGAACAATTATAAGTTTCATAATCTTTTCTACCTCTTTAATTTTTTAAATATTGCTAAAATTAAAAAATAAGTGTCAGAAATTGCATAACAATCGTAAAACTTTAGAATTTGTTCGTATTGTTCGAAATTATATGTTATAAATTTATAAAACACTTGATGAAATTTGAGACGTATTAAATTTCAACTTCATAAGTAGTAGAAAAAAGTTTTAAAATTTATATTTGTATATGAAATTCTATCGATACTTTTAAGTATTAGCAATAAAAACAATTCATTTCAAAGTATAAATATCCTTAAGTTAAACACAGCACAATAAACAATAATCGAAAGCTAAGTTAGAATATAAAAATAACCATAAACAGAGATCTAATTGTGACAAAGATAATAAACAGAGCAATAATGATAGTTTAGCAGAACTCTACTGTAAACACATACTTTCTAATGCTAAATCTTATATATTCGAGTAGTATTAGAATCCTTTCTCTGGGAATATAAAATAAATAACACCGAACTCGCGTGATTCGCGTATATTTTTTATTATATTTTCCCTTCTCCTTGAATGCTTTCACTCAAACAGCGAAATTTGTAAAAAAAAAATTGATTTCCCTGACTTAAAAAGTGATTACCTCAATTAATGTAAAAAATATAGATTAAATTAATGTAGTACTGAAATTAAATAGCTTATAATCAATTGGAGTTAAGATTTGAAAGGTCGGTAGTTAAACTTTGATTGTAATAACTTGCGGAAAAAGGAGAAAGGGAAAAAAGGCACTTTCAATAAAATCGAATAGAACGGAGTTATCTATATCTACATTATTATACAATACAAATAAATCCAACGAAACTACATATTTTGTATGTTGCATTGAAATAAGTTATAATAGCGCAATCAGCTCTACTTAATAATACAGTTGTTTGTACGTAACTAGTGACTATGAGAAATTGTCAACATTACATTTGTTTCTACTGACTTTCGATTAAATTTTTACTTACTCACTTTTCAAATAATAATTAAAATTCTTGTTATATAAATCGACAGAATAAAAAAACATTATTGACTGATTTATATTTTTCTTATTGTAAAGGAATGAAAAATTTTTTAAATAATGTAATAAGTAACGTAAAAATACATTTATGTCTACATGATTAATAGTCTTTCATTAGCTCCCGGATTTAAATTTATAAATATAAATCATGAAATGCGGAAGTGCGTCATTATATAAATAATAAAAATAAAAGGATAGTTTAATTATTATACCTTAATTGTAATATATATATATATATATATATATATATATATATCCATACATATTCGTTTACTCGGATACATGAAGAGAAAGAAAGAAATACTAGTTCTCTAGTTTCTAGTTTCATCATTTAGCATTACACAATCTTCTATTAAATAAACCAACTATCATTTATCATTATAAAATTGAAGAAGAACAGATAACATTAATTTGAAAATAAAATTTTTACCAAAATCCTTTTCTCTACATATATTCAACTGTGCAACTTCGTGTTCGTCAATGTGTACAAATAGTGTAAGAAAATTTATATTCACATACTAGTAGATTGCTGATTCTTTGATAAATGTAGGTCAAGTCAGTTATTTATTTGTACGCTAGATATATATGCTCCAGTCTATGATTTATGTAATTATATTTTCAATTGAATGAAAAAAAATGTTTTAAAACTGATTGACAGTATTGTTCTACTGAGCTTGGTTATATTTTTGATGAGAAGATAATAATCGCACAATAATATTAAATAATGAACCTACGAAGATGAGTACGAATGTAAAAAATATCCCAATGAATAAAAGAGAGCTTGTAGGAAGAAACCATTGACGCAATTTAAATAGGCTACAGTGGCAATACGTATACACATTGCTTTTATGTTGCATTACACAGGCTTATACGAATTGTGTTGAGTGTACCAGAAGGTGCGCATGACGCTTTAAAATCTACAAGCATGAGCATGTTTTGTCCTTGATTGCAACATATATTTTATAAACTTGACCATTATGTTGATTAAATGTACTGTAGTTAAAATAAAATAACTATTTATTACTTTAAACAGATACTGTTAAAGAATTTATAAACTTTCAATAATCACTGATTAACAAGAGCTTGTCAATATGGTGTCGTACTTTCTGATTTTTTTATGTAACATTATTTATTATGCCACTTCAATCGATTATTGATAACTTATTCTTCAACTAATTTATTTATTTATTTATAATTGTTATCAAGTAATAATTAACAAGTAAATAAAATTTTAATCTTACCGATTGAAAAAACCAATCAAAAAAGTTAGATCCAAAGACCTCGGAGTCAATTTTATGGGTCAAATAATTTTACTATAATTCATTATCATGTAAAATTTTATATTTGTTGTGAGCACAAGAAATTTAATGTTCCCGAATAGCTTAATGTTAAATCTTGACAATCAATTAAGAACGCTGATTTATAACAAAAAAAAAAAACTGCATGAAGAGACGAGAAAAATGGTGAGACAAAGCCCGAAATCAACTGCATACAATCACATCACCAGTCTGTTGCCAACTGAGTTAAGAACTTTGACAGTTCTTTATATCAATAAACACGTTGTACCAATATAATAAAGTTAAATATTCTAGAAACCACTAGCTGTTTCAGTTAATTTATTTTTCAAGTTTTATTTATCAATTTTTCGAAATTTAACAATTATTTTCTAGATAAAATTCCCAATATTTTACTAAAAATACGAAATAAGTATTAACAATCTATTAATTTATTTACTACCAGCGGTGAAAATAATAAAAAAGTAATTTGTAAGAAAACAATGAAATTATTTGTTGATAAATAAAGCAGTTTGAACAAAATTAATAATTATAGTAATTCTACTTTATTTACAAGTTTACATTAATTTATGAATCGAGAGCATACAATAGGTAAATAAAATACAGTAAGTAATCTTAAGTATTAATTTAACTTTTATTTGTTTAATGTTATCATTAAGAGTAGTATATTTTCAAGGTTGAATTTCTATTACATAAAAATTAAAAAGTATATTTATTTCTTGCCAGACTTTTTGATTCCTCCAGTGACCAGGGGTCCTTTTTGACCAGCCTTCTTTGCAGCTTCTGCTAAAGCTTTTTGTTGTTCCTTTTGCTTTTGCTTGAATGCAAGATCATCGTCATCAAGATCTTTAGATTCTTTTTTGGGAGCTTTCAAAGGTTTCTTCTTGCCACCTTCTCGACCTGACATTCTGGAATTAAAAAAAATATATACATATATATATATATATTTAATAAACATGTGGTTTAACTAAGGTTATGTTTCGTAGTCATATCTATTTAAAAGCTGGTTTTTATTTGTAAAACAATTAAATTTTAAGAAAATTGATTGATTGTATAGTAATCTAGAGTAATTCTTACCTGATAAATTTTTATGAGTGCGTGTAAAAATTATTAAATTAATAATATTGAGTTATATTAATTTCTGAACAAGTCTCAAAACTACTATTAGACACTTGTAATAATACTAAAGTCCGAAGTTGAATGCGATATGTGATAGATATATCGATAGTACAAAAAAGTGACGCTTAGTTCTCGGTCTCTTCTATAGATTAATTTTGTGCTTCCATCTTGTGGTGACAATGAGTACAAGGAATATTTTTCTTGCTTTTTACTCAATTGCAAAAATAAATTTATGTGGCGGGAATGTGTGATTATAAATACGCGACGAACAAATAGTCCCGAAACAGACTTCCAGGGGGTCATCTGAGTGATCCGAACGGAAATGGAGCCAATGTAATAATTGTAAAGGAATTCAAAAAGTAACTTGCTCTCTAACAAGTTATATACATTTAATACTTCATACATAACACCTAATATATGTCAAATAATAGTAAATTCTATATAATAAAATACACACATTAAAACATTTAAATATCATATTTATGAAAAAAATTAAACTGTAACCCATGAAACATTACAAAAGAACGACAATTGATCTGTCTTCTAAGTCTTCTAAGTCATAAGTAAGAAATTAGTTGTCGATAAGGTAAATTTTTTTTTGTAACTGGCGGTGAAGGAAATTTAAATTATATAATCTAAATTCAAACACAACCTTTTTATTCTAAATAAGAATAATTCTTATTATTCTTATTGATTACTTTGATTTATTAAAATATATAAATATTGATTACTAAAATAAAAAAAAAATCGCTTATTTAATGGGAAATTATTTATTTGTCTTTATAAAGTAATTTATTGTTAATTATATAAAATATTAAAATCAAACTGTTTTTTATTTGTTTCAACTTAAACTATTATTCATCTATACACTTTCTCAAAATTTATCAATATTAAACGAACAAAAACATCTTTTTTTTTTTAATTTTCTAATATTTTTGAACTTACTAATTATATATGATATTCCTATATTTTTTTAACTTTAATCTAAGTTTAAACGAATTATATTTAAATAAATAATTATTTCTTCTTATGTTATTCTAATTACATAGATATAAAAAATAATTGTTTGTTTTATAATATTCATATGAAAAGAACGTAATTATTGATAAATGTTAAGAAGGTGTATAAATAAATAATAGTTTAAGCTGAAACAAGTTAAAGAACAGTTTGTTTTTAATAGAATTAAAATAGAATTGTTTTATAGAATTAAAAAAAAAAAAAAAAAAAATAGAATTTACTATTATTTGACATACATTAAGTGTTATGTATGAAGTATTAAATGTATATAACTTGTTAGAGAGCAAGTTACTTTTTGAATTTCTTTACAATTATTACATTGGCTACATTTCCGTTCGGATCACTCAGATGACCCCACTTCCAGTCAAAGAAAAAAAGGGGGACGACACACCAAGCCATGTGACATACGTTTTTTAATTCCGAAAAAACGGAAGAACATTTTATTAAATGATTTTTAAAAATTAAATGTTTTATAATTCAACAGGTCTTCCAAAATCAGGAACACTCTTTTCTTTTTTTTTAATTTATCCTATGTAATTAACGAAAGAACGTTCTATAGTATATAATAATTATTGTGCAAAACAAAATGTAAAAAAGTCAATTATCATTGCAAAGAATAAGTAAAGAAATAGAACTTGAAAAAACGGAACACCATTTTGATTTGTAGTTATTATTGCAAAGGATAAGGAAAGAAAGTAAACTTAGAAAAACGGGCTTCCCATTAAAAAGTAATTAAGAAACCCTTATTTCTATGCATTTATTGTTAAATTGTATACTTACTGTTAGACAAATTTCCGTTTAAACATACCAAAAATGATATTTCTGTGTAAATTTAAAAGCAGTGGATTTTCAATACTTCGTCCTATTCTTATGTTGTATGTAATTGAAAAATTCTATTTCTGTTGTTAGATAATTTTCAAAACACTTAAATTGTAATTATTGTAAGCAGATGTTACAGAAATTCTGCCAAGTCATTCTCTGACTTTTTGTTAATTGTCAAATTTGATATGCCTTTTAATTGCTCTATTAAGATATAGAATCGTTCCTATCAATCCGTCACGCTCCTTACTTAATTGATTACTAATATATGCCTTTTCTCAAATGTAACACAATACCTAATGTTGAATATAAAATTTGTATTGTTCTGAGGAGGGTATTATGTAATCAGTTCTTGGAGTAAGGATAAGAAAGTAAAATACAATAAAAGGATAAGAAAAGAAATTAAATCTGAAAAACCGGCGACCAGTTTTTTAAAAAAATTTAAGTAAAAACGGAACAACGTTTTTATTTGTGAATATTATTACGAAAAATGAACAAAGAAATTAAACTTGGAAAAACGGAACACCGTTTTTATTTGTGATTATTATTGCAAAGCATAAACAAAGAAATTAAACTTGAAAAAACGGGCGTCCAGTTTTTTAAAAAAATTCAAGTAAAAACGGAACACCGTTTTTATTTGTGAATATTATTGCAAAGAATAAATAAAGAAATTTAAATTAGAAAAACGGGCTCTTATAGTTTTACAAAAAAATTTAAGTAAAAACAGAACACCATTTTTATTTGTAATTGTTATTGCAAAGAATAAGCAGACATTAGATTCGGAAAAACGGACTTCCGTTTTCTCACAAAAAAATTTCAGTAAAAACGGAACAACGTTTTAATTAGTGATTTCTTTGCTTATTTTTCGCAATAATTATTATACTAATAAGACGTCGTTCCGTTTTTACTTAAATTTTTTTAAAAAACTGGAAAAGTATCAAATAAACGTTCTCACGTTAATTATTTTTTATCTTTGCTTACTCTATATTTACTCGTGAATCTTTTAGGTAACCTAAATTAATGTTGTTGTATATGCAGAAAAATTTCCGATTAATTTAATTACAGCAATATTCAGCTATATTGCACAATCTACATCATTTTTTTACAAGTATATAATTTTCAATTATTCCCTTTTGAATTTGCCGCTCGCGGAGGAATACAACTTACTTTCGCACATGCGTAGTTTGACACTGAGTTCTGGTGGGATGGCGACGCTGTGGTGGGGACGTCTGAGGTACCCACAAACGAAAAGGGCAGTTTGACTATAATCACCCGCCGTCGACGTCGACGGACTCGTTGCAGTAGTATTCATTCGTCGTTTGCAACGCCAAGTTCTTACAAACTTTGAAAATTTATTTTTTGTTTAATTATATATTTACTGTAATATAAACCTATTGATAAAAAAATAAATCTGAGTGAATAAATAAAATTCATAAATTTAATTGTAATTTATATGAGTTAAAATGCCGACAAACGTTCAGTTCGCGAATCCACCCCTGCCGACGGGGATAAATTTGCCCAACATCTCGGTACCTCCACCGACTGCTCCAAATTTATCAGCACCACCTCCAAATTTGACTAGGATAAACACCGCGCCTGGAGGATTCCAGTCTCAACAACAGCAGAGGTTTCTCAATCACCGGGACAACACTCGGGAATTTTTCAAGCCCTTCCGACCTTATCATGCCCCGAAGATTGTTTCGGGGAGCCAGGATGCTCTCCAAGACGAGTTTGATGGCAAGAGATTGAGAAAGTCGGTCATGAGGAAGACAGTGGATTATAATTCAACTATAATTAAGACTCTGGAGGTAATCACTCTAAATATCAATTTTTCTTTTTTCATGCCTTCATTTGTAATAATAATAATATTAATTTTTTAGAATCGTATATGGCAACGAGACTTCCGTGACAGATGATCTCTTCAGCCGGACGTAATGTATTACCCAGACCTCTTACCACCTTCGAGTTACGATGACAATTCAATCAACGCCGTAACCACGAGGTTCGTTAAAACGGCGACGAACAAGATGCGTTGTCCTATTTTTTGTATGGCCTGGACTCCAGAAGGTCGACGACTGGTCACTGGAGCTTCAAGTGGTGAATTTACCCTCTGGAACGGTCTTACCTTCAATTTCGAAACGATTCTTCAGGTATGATGACTTAAAGTATATAGTAAATGATAATTTAAATTGTTACTTATGTAATAAAATTTGGACCTTGTTCAGGCACACGACAACCCGATTAGGACGATGGTTTGGTCACACAACGAAAGCTGGATGGTGACCGGGGATCACTCGGGGTACGTCAAGTACTGGCAAACCAACATGAACAACGTCAAGATGTTTCAGGCCCACAAAGAAGCGGTTAGAGGATTCAGGTATATCATCATCCACCACTCTAGCCCTTTGGTTTCTCATGACACTATGCTATTTATTCGAACTACTATTGTCTTCGTGTATTGCTGGAGTGCTCCAAGTCAAATGGACTTTCTGTTACTCTGTTTTCTGCGATGGATTAAAATCATTTCTAATTTTTACCGCGATCCGCCATGAATTTTCCATTATCTATTATTTTAATGATAAATGATAACTGATAACAATTTTATTTAATTGATAAACTTTTTAAATACGCGATTAATTGATGGTAGGGGTCTGTCAGCGCTCTTGGTCCGGAAGATCTATTGTGTACGTATGAGCGTATGTGATCCCGGCCATTAAAAAAATTTAGTTAGTTTCTAATTCATTTTTTTTTAATCTTCCATCTTAGATTTGATTATTATTATTATTAATATTACGTATCATAAATAATTTTTTAATTTTTCGTGGCAACCCTTGCCGTCAATTTGCGGAATGCTGTATATTTAAATAGCGGGGGAAAATAAATTTCTGTAATTATGGTTGATTGCAAATAAACTGAAGCTGCACCCCATCTAGATTCCTATTGACCATTCATAAATATCTATATATCTATATATATATATATATATATATATATATACATGTACATGATAATAAAAATATAATCCTGCTTCTTTATTTACAATTATAATATCCAACTGGAAATATTTTATTATAATAAAATAATTTTTTAAATTGTTTTTGGTAAATAAAATTTTGGGGGATGTATTAATTATTTTGAGACAATTTACAGTAAAGACATCATTTTAGACAGGTAAATTACATATGTGCATGAATGTGATTATGCAAGTGAGAGAATGGGGGTGTGAGCGCGGCATTTTAAAAATAAAATTAAAGTTATTTGATGTACACATTCCCTTTCGCTATTTTTGTATTTAATAAAAATTTAATCTATTAAAGTGAAAATTTTAAAAGTAATAAAATAACTTATGGAAACATCTACCGGTGGTCATGTGGCATCGACAATCAATTTTTTTCCATTAATAATAATAAAATCAATTAAATTACTCGTGTGCCAGGTATGACTATCGGAGATTATTATTCGTTCATAGTTGCTCCCTTTATAACTAAACTTTAATGATAGCTTCTTATTATTTATTAACACATAAATAATTTAATTAAAAAAATTAATTACGGATCATTCTAATAAAAATTATTCCGGTTTTATTCGCGAGTTAAATATTTTACCATCAATTTTAACTGTTTTATTATATAATTACTAATTAAATAATAAATTACAACACAATATTTACTTATAAATTAATATTACGACGGTCTAATTAGCAATTTGTCTAACTCCTTATTTTTTTCGAAGGTGATTTTTTAACATTTTGATGTAGCAATAGTACAATTCTAAATTATTTGAATGACTCAAACCAAAATATTATACCTTTATTAGATACTAGAAATTTGAATAGCGCGCTACGCGCGCGCCGAAATTTTAACCAATATAATAATGAATCGCGGTCCGTTTTTTGCGAGTTTCGACCTTTGACTAACTTCAAGACTTTCATCTATTTTATAATAATAATAATATAGGATAGGATAAATAAAATAAAATAATAGGAAAATATAGGATTAATGATATTAAATGGTTTTTTAGTGATAATAAATTTTGAACTAATTGTTTTTTTTCGTGCAAATGGAAGATTCTCTAAAATGGAGTTAGACAATTTGCCAATTAGAACGTCGATTAGTAAATAGTAATTGATAAATAAAAGTTGCGATCGGCGTAGTATGTAATTATTATGTTTTTTCGCCGGGTAGTTTCAGTCCAACGGATCACAAATTGGCGACTTGCAGTGACGATGGCTCCGTCAGAATTTGGGACTTCCTACGCTGTTATGAGGAGAGAACTCTCAAAGGTATAAATTTTTATTTATTTTATCTAATTAACACTGAAATTAAAATTCATTTGATAACTTAAAAAATTTTTTTAACAAATAATTATAGCAAAAAAAATTTTTTTTTAAATTCAATTTTTAGCTCAAAAAAAAAAAAATCATAAATGCAATTTTTTAAAAATAATTTTCTAGATTTAGTTTATTAAAAAAAATTCCAAGTGTCTGCTAATTTCAGTGTGATTTTATATATTTGTATATAAAATTAAAAAATTATTATTATTATTATAAATAAAAATAACTAGAAGAAAAGATAACATAGTAATTTTACGTAGGTCATGGTTCTGATGTAAAATGTGTCCATTGGCATCCCCAAAAAAGTCTAGTCGTCTCTGGAAGCAAAGACAATCAGCAGCCAATAAAATTATGGGATCCAAGAACTGACCAAGAGCTGGTGACGTTGCACGCTCACAAGAGTACAGTTATGGATATTAAATGGAACGACAACGGAAATTGGTTGGTGACAGCGTCGAGGGATCACTTGTTGAAGCTTCAAGTGTCGCTTGGCACCCGAGTCATGAAGGTCTTTTCTGTAGTGGAGGTACCGACGGCGCTATTCTCTTTTGGCACGTTGGGTAAGCTTCAATTCAATAATTGTATTAATTTTATTTTTTTATTAATTTATAATCTAATAAAATAACATTTTATTACAGAGCTGACAAAGAAGTAGATGCGATTGAGCAAGCTCATGACAGTATCGTTTGGACATTAGCATGGCATCCGCTAGGACATATTCTTTGCTCTGGTAGCAACGACCACACTTCGAAATTCTGGACCCGGAATCGTCCAGGAGATCTCATGAGTGATAAATATAATCTTAATACCCTGCCTGCTGGAGCAGCTGGCATTGATGATCATGAAATTGGTACTTACTTTGTTTTTTTTTATACATTTGAAACTTGAGGCTAATTTTTCATTAACAATTTTGTTTTTAAATTTAAAACTTGAGGTTAATTTTTTATTAACAATTTTTTTTTTTTAAATTTAAAACTTGAGGTTAATTTTTTGTTAACAACTTTATTAACAATTCTAGCTGATGAAGCTGCAGTGATACCTGGAATGGGTCCTGAGGACAAAATAAACGAATTCGACCTTGAACAGTCGATGGAAGAAGACACTTCTCAAGGAATATTTGGCTTGGATCTCGATCAAGCGGCAGAAGAAAGTAAAAAACTCGCAGCAAGTAAGAAAGTACCGTACAGCAAGCCTATTCCCCGGAACTTCCAAGCACAGTGGAATGAAATGGAAGCTGAGGATCCAGAGCAAGTAGAGGCGTTGAACGCTATTGTCAATCAGTTGATTGAAACTACACCTGGAACAGTGCCTTTAAATGAAGTCGCTCCTAATGCTATTATTTTATACGGAAAAATAATTCCTGTTGAACGTAAGTCTCTTTACTTCTGAGTGTAATTTTTTTTTTTTTTTTAATTAAGGATCATTATTTTAATTGAATTATATGTTTCAGCTGGATCAAAACTTTCCGAAGCGATTGTAAAAGGCAACAACGCGATAAATAAATTAATAACAGCAGGTGAAATAGAAGAACTGAGAGACGTTGCAATAAACTTGCCTGAAGAACCAGAAATAGAGGAAGACTATTTGCAAGACGAAGGCGAAATAGACTACACTAAAGTTCCAAATGTAGATTTACCACCGCCACTGCCTAGTTCAAAGTTTGCTCAAAATCCGGAATTATTGAAAGCGCTCAACTACGGAGGGAAGCGTAAGTTTGATCAGTTGATCGCGTGGACTGAAGCAAATCCAACTGACCGAGGAAATAAAATGCACCAACCGGTGTTTGGAGCCGGTGGAATGTCTGATGATTCATTGTCGAATAATGACAGTGATCTAAGGCTAATGCCTGGTATGAAGAACCCTCAAGACATTAACTACTTTGCAAATCAAGATGAGGATCTCAGAAGAATCAATAATGTAGATAACCGAGGAGGAATGGGTCGGGATGAGGACAAGAGGATGAATGTCGCTTCAGCAAGTGGCCCAGGAAGGCCACCGGGTATGATGATGAATGAATTCGACATACGCAATTCATTTGACATGAGAAATTCGTACGGTGATAAGGACTTTAGGCATTTAGAACCTCCTCCGATGATCGGATGGTTCAAAAAGTCCTCCATGGATGGCAATGACAATTTTGGAAGTGGAGACATGGATCGCGATGGACGGCAACGATCATGGGACGACGACAAAGGAAAGAACAGCAACGACAGCGGGCGTTCTAACTTCGATAAGCGCGATATGTCTTCAAATATGCAGAACAACAGCATGCAAATGTCGATGGGAAATATGCCTTCAGGAAATATGGGATCAAACCACCACAACATGCAGAATATCAGCCCCAACATGCCCCCGTCGATGATGTCAACGATGCCTCCCCATCACCAGCAGCACCACCAGATGAATCATCTTTCTAATATTAAAAATAAAAATAATTCCAACATGATGAGAGGCAATGACAACAGCGGCCCGATGCCGCCACACATGATGCACATATCCAACTTTGGACCCAATGGACCTTCACCGATGCCTCCCAACTTCAGGCCTAACTTCCGACCGCCCAATGGGAACTACGGACCCAACCACCCACCCTACAGACCCAATCCCATGTCTCCTTTTGTTCCTAGTCAAAATATGCCGTTCAATAACAATGTCCCTCCGCCGAATTTCCGCGGTCCCAATCCTGGAAACAATCAGATGTCCAACTTTGACCGTCCGCCCGGCTTCGGACCAAAATTCCGCATGTCTGGAAACCAATCTGAACACGGCTCCGGCGGGGGCAATTTTAATTCTGGGTATGGAAAGAATTACAACAACAGCGGAGGCGGTGGGGGTAATAATGGGCAGCAGCGGCAGCGGTAATAATTCTGGTGATTAATATTAATTAATTAAGTATTTGATTAAGAATAATAATAACTAAATTTAAATTAAATGCTATTTATTGTATACATATATTACTAAACATTCTACACATGAAAATGTAAATATTTTTGTAAATTATCGAGGGCGTTTCTTTACAAATAAATAAATAAATTGTAATATATTATACAGTCCATTGAGTGATCTGTCGTCTTTTAAAATAATACCGGGTCACTTTCACGAGTTGCCTTGGAGTGGAATTATTAATTTATTCCAATACGAGGAAATACCCTATTATATATATACATGCATAAATATTAATAATAATAATATTGATATTAATAAGTACTTAAGAATAAAATGAAAAACAGGCAATTGCGTGTACTTTGAGAAGATAATGATGAAAAGGTCGATTCCAGAAGACAATTTACTTAATAAAAATCATAATTTATAAAAATAATAGTTTAGTTATTTAATTTTCCTTATGTATATCTATGCTTAATTAAAATATATAATACATCCCTATTAATTTTTATCAATAATTATCCGCAATATATTGAAATTTAGAGACAGTTGATAATTTTTTTTTATTTTTTTAACAGTTAAATTATAACAAGAAAAATTTATTAAAAAAAATTTGATATTTATAAGCTTTTAAAAATTATAAATGCAATTTTTTAAAAAATAATTTATTTTTTAAGAAAACAAAAAGGTTGTCAAGTGTCTGCTAATTTTTAGAACTTTGTAATAAATAAATTGGAGCAAAAAAAAATTATGAATAAAAATTGACATGTAGAAATTTTAAAAAATTTCTACATGTCAATTTTTTTTAAATAATTTATTTGTTGAATTTACACACAATGCAAAATTATAATATTTTTTTTTTTTAATTAGTAGAGCAAATTGAGAGCAATTATTTGAGAAAAAAAAATTTTTGAAAAAGTGAATATTTTAGGTTTTATAGCAAAATTAAATTTTCAAAAAAAAAATTAATTAAAAATTAACTAATAGTAATAGACCTGGAGCAATTACGGATTCTAATAGAGCATTTAAAGAGCAATTAATTGACATATGATTTAATTAAAAAAAAAATTATTCTACGCTAACTTCCTTCCGGTATTTACACGCTAACTTAATTACGGTGTGAGCACATGTTAATATTTATATTGGAGTCTACTTTAAGTAGTTCGATTTTTGCCGCTAGTTAGCGTATTCAAATTTTAAGGATCTCAACACGATCCTGTTATTTTTTTATCTATTTATTTTTTTTTTATTTTTCTGGTATTACAATAATTATTTGTATCCAATTATTTGAGCATAAACTATTAATCACACTAAATTGTTGCAAAATTTTTACTAACTAAAATGCAGTTGAAATTAAACTTGATTGCTGCCGCATGTGGTGATAACCTAGGGATTGGAATCAACGGACGTTTGCCATGGAAACTCAAGTATTCAAATTTAAAATAATTAATATTTATTTAATTTTATGATTGAAAATTTGCTGAATAAAAAATTATTTTTTCAGGGCTGAAATGGCATTTTTCACTAACATGACAACTAAAACTGAAAATGTTAACAAAAAAAATGTTGTCATTATGGGACGAAAAACGTGGGAGGGTATCCCAAAAAAGTTTAGACCACTACAAAATCGAATAAATATTATTTTATCTCATCAAAAAATGCAAGTAGTAATAATGGTTTTGATACCAGTAGATATCTGGCCATTAATTTATTTTATTCAACAAATTAATAAGTCGTAACAAAACATTTAAAAAAATTTTGTTTATGTTTTTTTAAAATTTTTCCATGTAAAAATGAAGAAAAAAATTTTTCATAACAATTCCTCTATTTAGAAAATTCTTAAAAATTGCCAGATATCTATTAATTTCATTATTATTGGTAACAATTTATATTTTAATTAAGAAAATATAAACAGACTTAAAATGTTAACATTTTTTAAATTGGTTTTAAATTTAGAGACTACGAAAATGAACCAATTGTTTGTCAAAGTTTACAACATGCACTGGACACTATTTCCAAGACTGATCTTTGTGAAATAGTTGAAAATATTTGGGTGATTGGCGGTCACGCTGTTTACAAAGTAATTATAACTTTTGTTTTCTTATAATTATTATTTTACTTAAATCCACGTATTTGTTATAATTTTACCTCAGGCAGCTATGGATCATCCTAATTGTTTCCGAATATACTTGACTTATATTAAAAAAGATTTTGAATGTGACACGTTTTTTCCGTCTATTCCCAACAATTTTATTGAAACAAGGTTAGCATAACATGATAATTAATCATTTATTGAAATTTTATATTAATTATAATAAATGTTTTTGTTGATTCTAGCGATACTAACATACCCTCGGATATCCAAGAAGAAAATGGTATTCAATTTCTTTATAAAGTTTATGAGAAGGTTTCAAATTAATGAAATAATGTAACATAAAATCAATAATGTGAAGAAGATGTTTTTTATTTTAATTATATTCTTGTATAAAAAAAAATCTTTTTGGTGTTTTTAGTTAATTTATACATATATAATTAACCAGGGGGCCATTGCATTTGCCTTCCTCCAAGAACATGTAAATGTAAATGATAAACTGACTGAGCTCCATTTTGACCATCATTGATAACTAGTCGAAATCCTTGATCAAGCCCTTCTTGTTTAGCAACTTTTCGAGCAACATTCATAAGATGTCCTAGTAAAAGTTCATCCTCGTCAGCAGCTTTTGACAGTTGAGGTATCGGTTTGCGAGGAATGACAAGGAAATGAGTTGGTGCTTGAGCGTTGACGTCATGAAAAGCAACACACTAAAAATATTCATTTTAGAGAATTAATTTCACAAACGAATTAGACATAATAAATATAATTCATAGAGTAACTGTTAGGTTAAGTTTACTGAATTAAATAATAATTGAAAGTTAAAAACTATTATAAGTAATTACATTAAAAATTTGATTGATTACCTTATCATCTTCGTAAATAAATTTACAGGGGATTTCTTTTCGAAGAATTTTTCCAAAAATTGTATCCTCACTAGGAACCGCAGATTGTGCTTTTTCCACCTCGGACGCCATTTTTCTTATAAGCATAAAAATGTTCGATGAGTAGACTTTTCGATTATAACTATAATTAAGGTGTTTGATAGCAGTACTTAATCTCATAACCATATAATTTCTATTTAATTATTACATGTGAACTAAATTACTCGATTATTAATTTTTTGAATGCAATTTGTATTGAATTTATCAAGTCGCATATTTATGCAACCGTTATATACTCACTCGCAGATAACAATATCTGAACAAAAACAGTTTCACTGTAAAAAATTGCGCCAAGTCCACGTTCATAAAACTCATCTCAATAACATTTGTACTTTACAAAAAAAATTAGATTCGTTTCAATAATTTTTATTCTCTACAAAAAGATGTGAAATACAAAAAAATACCAAGAAACCGTCATAATGTTGAAAAAATTGAAAAACAATTTGTTGAAAATTAAAAAATTATAAAAAAAATTTTTTATCGTACTTGGCGCGCGTCATTGAGTACCCCAAATTTTTTCAGGATAAATAAACATCCTTTTCATGTTGAGTAATTTATAAGTAAGTCAACCTTCACGTTGATACACGTCGATACGCATGCATACGTTGGGTCGGTTGCATTGTGAGAATTGTGTTTACTAAAAAATAAAAAATATGGCCGACTAAATTGGGAAAATGAGGTGTGAATACCAATCAAAAAGTATAAATTACAATTAAACGAAGAAATACCAAACTCTGATATAGCATAGGGTCCTTCATTGAAAATTAATGACAAAGCTGAAAAAAAAATGAAACCAATAATTTTATATAATTTCAGATTTCTTGAACACACCACCATATTGACAGTTGTTTTCACTAAAGATCTAAAAAAAAATTTTAAAAACGGGTTTATTCACCAAAACTGATAATTAATACACTAAGCAACGTTTTCAATGAGTTCAGTATCCTTGACTAATGTAAATCTATATAAATATATATATTCAAGCGAAATCGATTTTTCTTCAGTAGAAATTCTTCCGAAAAAAATTGGGGTACTCAATGACGCGCGCCAAGTACGATAAAAAATTTTTTTTATAATTTTTTAATTTTCAACAAATTCTTTTTCAATTTTTTCAACATTATGACGGTTTCTTGATATTTTTTTGTATTTCACATCTTTTTGTAGAGAATAAAAATTATTGAAACGAATCTAATTTTTTTGTAAAGTACAAATGTTATTGAGATGAGTTTAATGAACTTGGACTTGGCGCAATTTTTTACAGTGAAACTGTTTTTGTTCAGATAATTCTTTACTTTATTTATATTCAAAGTTTTCGGCGCCTCTCATACTGCACTCAAGTGAATTTGACATCGTTTATAATTAAAGTTACTCTAATCAACTAATCGAACGAATTTACTTTTTATAATTTTTTTTCGATCATTTCATTTTTCTCTCTTAATCATTTTTCAACTTCTTTTAAGATCAAATACATCTATATTTCTTTACTTTGTGCACATTCAAACGTTTGCGGCACCCGATTTTCACTGTTACTTTATGATTTTTATTCTGTATAGTTTATAACGGAAGTTTGCCTGACCTGGGGATTTACCAAGCCAGGCTCACCGTTTATTTATTATTTGGCTTACTTAAAAAAAAAATTTATCATTAATAAAAGGGCGCCAGGAGAATGATCTCCAACTAATTACTGCTTCGACTTCGGCTAGCTATTACCTCTTCTTCAGGGCGGCGGGCCATGCTGAAATACTCGTCATTAAAAAAAATGGATAGCAAAATAAACGAAAGGCTTAAAATTACTTGAAATAAATTCGGAAGAAT